GAAGGCCGTCGGTTTGGTATGTGAATATACCTGTTAAGCAAAATAGTATATCGGATAAGTGAGAATAATCATTTGGGTAAGTATGGGTTACTGCATTTATAAGCATGCTATGGTGCATATTTGTTTTGTTACACATAGTATGTTGGTAGCATGGACATATATTTGAAAAGTATGTGATGTATGTGGATATCACATATACATGTCAGAAAGAGTACTTACAGATAACTGCTTTAAATGACTTAGTGTTTTACTGTGAGTCATTTAGCATATTTAGCTAAACAAACTTGACAGATTTAGTAAGTCAGCTAAGTTTGTTCTCGGCCGGAGGAATTGCTTTGGAGACCATGCCGAAGAGAGCATGATCCTGGAGGCAGGATTGTTCTCTGCATCTGTTTGCATGCAGCATCCTTACATGTTTTGCTCGCTGGCAGTCATATATAAGACGCCATGCAGGGCATGCATGCATGCATGTTTGCCATTGCAGCTTGTTGCTCAGACTTGCAAGTGCTTGCGAGATCGGATCTTGAAATCTTGAAGTGCCATCATCATGCCGATGATGATCCCTCCAGATGTGGATGCACGAGTCACCGAACTGCTGGCCGGTGCTTCCACTGGCGACAAGCTTGTCAACACGGTGCACCAAATCATGGTGTTGTTCCGCGAGCATGGCCTCGTCACTTCGATGCGATTGGTGCCTGCAGCTGTTGGGGTGCATCCCAAGAACAGGGATGGCACAGGCCTGAACAGTGCAGATGTGCACACTCTGCTTTCCAACCTACTTGAAGTAGGCTTCGTTGCAGAAAGAACGCACTGTGTCGCGATCGAGCCTGCGAACGAGCAAGAGCTCGATTGGAACAATCAGCTCGTTGGCAGCTGCCAAGGCCTCTTGGGCACCATGAAGCCACAGACCTTGAAGGCCTTGAGCCTCTGTGGCAGCCATACGAATTTCGCACTCCGCATCGTCGCAGACGGGGCCCCTCACGAGGGCCCCGAGAGCCACAGGGTCACCGTTGGAGGCCACCTCGATGTGGCACTGGTGGCCAAGGTGGATGCAGCCCTAGCTGAACACGTCCAGAAGGGGTTGAACTGGGAGGTTTTGTCCTCATCCATTGGCCTTCGATGGCCGGAGCTGCTGCAAATGATCCAAGCGGCGGGAAATGCTACACTCCAAAAGTCGGAGTCCGAGCTGCAAGTCCTGCGAAAGACCTTCCAGTTGATCGTTGCACAGCAAAAGGCCGGCATCCCACTGGACTTTAACATCATCAAAAAGAAGGCCCTGTCATCTCGGCCTGCATGTGGCAGTTCCTTCGCTCACCTGTACCAGTTCGCCCTGAAGCTCCTTACTCAGCATGTTTTGTATCGCCTTGCAGGGCTTACAGCTCGCATGGCAGGTACATGTCTTTGTTGCATGCATGGGAGTTGTTTTGGGGTGTAGATTGTAGTATATATTATANNTAGAACAGGTATTGTGGAGGAGTCGATGGCAAGTTCTTGGCTGAGACAGAGCAGTATGTGAGGGCCAGGGGCTCCACGACAGCTCTGGGCGACAAGGTGTGGGAGGCCATCTGCCACGAAATCAAAGGCAGCAAGAACCAGGCGGCCTTCTTTCGACACGGCTTGCTGAAATCGGCTTTGACAGGCATGCAAATGAGTGCGACGGAGGTGAAGCGAGTTTTCAGCAATACCTCCATGGTTGGCAAGGCACTGAAGGCCGATGGTCTGATGTCCGAGCTGCGAGGGTTGGTTGGCTCTCATGTGAATCTCCATGACCAGAACTTCGTCAATGTGTTCGCTGTGGTGGACAGCAA